TTTTAGAATGAAATAGAGGCAAGAACACGAAGAACAACTAACTTAGAGACTCCTAACACTCTCCAATTCGGATTCCTTCTTCCTCCACGAAGGACACGGATCAAACACGATCCTTTCTCCAAAAACCCCTGAACGGAAGTAGGGTTTCAGAAAACAGGAACGACACGCTAACTTCAAAAGCAAACAGAGAACATAGATTACCTCAGAATCAAGATCAGAAACCTGATCTAAAAACTAGACAGAGAGATCTAACCGAAGCTATGCGGATTGTCTTCTAACACCTTCTGGTTCGATAGAAATCCTCCTTCGAAGTTGACTGATCGCAGACCCAAAACTGCACAAACCTCTCACAGTAAAACAATGATAACTCCTAGAATACACAATTGATTGACAAACCGTTTTCTCCCATATCAAGATCAGAGAGTGGAGAACTTAACCTAAATTTTTTTCTTCGATCCGATTTGTTCTTAGTGGCTGTTACTCTCCTCTTCTAAAACTGGACAGAACTGCCTCCAAAGCTTTAAGAAACAAGAACACATATGGATCTTTTTCTCTTCTCTCTGGAACTCTCTGGAAACCTAAAACTCACTAAAATGTTCTGGAAAACGCAGCCCCCTCCTTTTATAACGAAGCCCTAGGGTTTTTCCTTAACCAAACCGCCAAACCGGCGATTAAATCGAACCAACCGGTTCAAATCAACCTTCCAAAATTCTGAATTTTGGTTCACGGGCGTTACAATTGCAAAGAAGAGATTGAGAGGCATTGTTAGTCAGGATAGGCATGCCCTAAAGGCCATATTGGATTGACCAAAGCTTTGGAAAAGGATGAACCGGTTTTTGAAGACTCTTGAGGCCTGGGACAAGAGTGCTACTGCTTCACAGTGCTGCAACTCGGATTGTGGAGGGCTAGGCATCGCGAAGCACTATCTGGTCATAAATCGTACTTGAGAGTGCAATAAGAAATGGTAATGCCTCTATACTTCCTCTCTGCTTCACTGTCTCTTATAAATAGTGCAAATATAATGTAGTCATATAACATCTCTTCATATTTACAGTAACACTGTCTCTTACTACTATAGGAGGAGGAGTTTGGTCGTCCTGTGTCGTGGGGAGAAGTGTTTCAAAGGACTTACACAAAGCCAGATGGAAAATTTGTTGATTTCAAAGCTCAACAAGTTCATGAGGCTTATGAGAAGTAAGTGAATGAAGCTATGTCGGAGGAAGATCTTCAAGGGTCTGGGATTTCAGAGAATTCTTCTCAACGCTCTACTCAGCGGACACTAACCATTGAGGAAAAGAATAAGATATTCCGCAAGGTATTCTCCTTTCTCTGGTTCTCTCTGGTATACTCGTTCTGCTGTTTGAGTTTCATTCCTCCTGTCTTTGGTTTGAGTTTGAGAGTTCTATTCCTCTTGTCTTTGGTTAACTGGTTTTAGAGTTTGAGTTTGATTCATCATGTCTTTGGTTTTGAATCATTGTAGAATGATTGATTGGTTACTAGTTTTAGAGTGTGATTCCTTTTCTCTTTGGATTTGAATAATTGTACAAACATTGTTTGATTGCTTAACTGCTTCTTCTGGTTTTAGAGTTTGACTTGGTTAACTGCTTCTGGTTTTAGCGTTTGATTGGTTAACTGCTTGCTTATAGATGTTTTGTTTTGGTTTCATTTTCAGTGTACATACACTGATCCGAAAGGAATCATCTTTGGACTTGGGGAACTACCCTTGATGGTTGTCAGCGGAAAGCGGAAAGAAAGCTTTGCAAGCTCCACTGTTCCGGAACTTTCACATTTCCAAGACCAACTACATGAAGCTCAGCGTAAGATTGATGCTCAAGAGGCGGAAAATTCTCGACGTGATGAGGAACACCGCAAAGCTCATGAAAAGATCTCTGAAATGTCAAAGCTTCTAAGGTACTTGAAGAACTCTGATCCCCTCATCGCAGAATACATGGGTAAACAAGATGAGCAGGAGAACAGTCCCACCGAGGTACAAGAAACCGCACAAGATAAGAAACCAAACAGCACACCACTCGACGCACCAGCCACCGCTTAACTCTCCCCGTAGCTCAACTATGAGCTTTTAATTTCTTGTGTTATCCTTTTGAACATACAAATATTTTCTTTTTGTGATATTTCTTAGGTGCTAGATTTTATTAATCTATGGATTTTAGTGTTTTAATTTGTTCAAAACACAAAACATTTGACCAAAAAACCATAGAAAATTTTAATTTCAGTTTATAATTTTTATATTTATCAAATTAAAATTAAATTTTTAATTCTCATTCTAGATTTTTATTTAGAATTATGAGGTGAATTTATTAATTTTTTTAAAATAATCTGAATTAATTTGAGGTTCGGGTTTAAATTGGC